TTAGTGAATATTAAATAATGATATGATTGTTGATGAAAACTATTAAAAATTGGCTTTAGGTAACAAAGTCATGTACTTTATCTACTTCACGATGTATGGAATAATTCTTGTTGCACTCACTCCAAATTACCACATTGCTTCAGTGTCATGAACATTATTTGTTATTGTTGTAACTAACATTCAATTGACTTGTAATACAAACTTTTAGTTAGTTTTGATAGTTTTTAAAACTTGTGTGTATAAATCATATTTTTCTAAAAAGGTAAAATATATTTCCCAAATTTTATGACCAAACACGTGGTGAAATTTCACCCAAATTTTCACTCAAATAATATTTGCCAAGAATATTTGAAAATCTATGGCCAAATGCTAGCTAAATGTACGGTTAATTTATCTCACTACTGCATTTGCTCTTTTGATTAGCTATTGCTGAAGATGCAATGACTGTGGTACATATGTTAGGAGAAATGCTACCTGTTATTACGTTTTGTTGAAAATACATTCCAATTTTTGTTCTTAAATGCAACAACATTTCTTATTTATAGCTTTTTATCCTGTGATTCACAATATATAGGTTTCCATCCAAATGTTTGGACTGTCATACATTTTGTGGACAAAAACAGGTATGTTAAACTTCAATGGTTTTCTGATACAGGGAGCTGTATCTCCACCGTTCTTTCTCCACAAAGTCTGCATCGAGAAACTGAGCTATGAATGTCCAAAGCCGATAAACATCTTCAAAGTTTGCCAGAAAGTTAAGGGCAACGGTGACTACTGATATCCCAAATTCACATCTTTTGTTCTCTGCATCACATTTTTTTCCTTGTAAAGTCCTCTGCTTCTCTTGCTCGTACTTGTCTGGAAACCACAAATGTGACAGAAACCCATGGCTGAGCGATATATTGTTTCGATCAGCAAGCTTCTGTATGAGAATTGGTTCCACCCTTTCTCCTTTCCAGTCGAACAGATTGAACGCCATAGCAGTTCCCCTGTCAAATTTTATCTTTGGACCATAGATTTTGACCAGAGGAAAATGGTCCAGTCTGTTTGGATGCTCAAGCTTCAGGAGTGCACTAATAAGCCAATTCACTAGGTACCTTCTTCTATTACCAATTTGAATCAGTCCGAGCGAATCCACATGATCCAAGCATCTGCATTCAATCCCTTTTTCTTCCACCTTGCCTAGTCTACTAATCGATTCGTCTGATTCCTCTTTGATCTTATCCTTTTCAGCTGAATTAGACCTACATATATGTAGCTCATCCAGTTTCGTAACAAAATTGGTTTTATCTCCACTCCCAGATGAATCTAATACTTGTGTTGGTGGAACAAGACTCACAATGCCTGT